ATTTTTTACGATATTGGCATACCATCCTCATCTGTTCAAGTTGTGAAATGTACTAACTTATGCAGCGATGTTATTAATATAAATGTAAATGAAGTTCAAGTCAAATGTTTTAGAATGCCATTTTGGAACTATAGTTTATCAGATGATAGTGATAATGATGATAATGAAAACTTTTTATCTTCCGAAATTAACACATATTGTTGCTACATTAATCCATTGGGAATATAGTTCTTTATAATGTTTTAAATAAACTTTTTGAAATCAACAATTTTTTTAATGAGTGGAATAGGCCTACCGGGGAAACCACTATAAAAAAAGCGCGCCATGCTATCTACCCCAAAGGGTAGTGGGGAAACGATAGCGCTCTTATCTCTGGTCTACATTCGGTTTTATGGTAATTATGGATTTAAGCTGTAATTCTTGTTTTAAGCTTTAACGTTGCTTCAAGCTTTATGGCCGGTATTCATAGTCGAGTCTTATTTTTAAGACTGTCTTAAGTTCATCTTCAGATACTCCGTAGCCAATGAAATGATCCATTCATCATCTGAAGATAAATTTAAGATGGTCTTAAATATAAGATCTGACTATGAATACCGGCCTAAGTCTTAGTAAATATTCTTAGAACAAGTCTGTCTACAATACGTACTGTCAATATCATTCATTATTTCAGTTTATATCCTTTTCATATCTGTATATAGTTATCTCTTATTTTGACAGCTACCTAGTATCTGGTGACAACCTCAAATACGTATATAATACACGCGTTTTTCAAGACAATTTTCTATTAGTTTATTTCTTAAAAATATACAATTCAATGGCACTCGAGTATAAAAACCCAGAAAGATAATCACTGTAAAGGTCCTACACACTATTGGAAATAATAAATTAAATATTCTCTTTTTGATATATATTTATTTGTATAAATATTGCCATTCCTTTCCCAACATAAAAATCGGTATTAATATATATTAAAACATATGTCAATATGTAGGTTAAATATCATTTAAAACTCAACGC